AAGACTATCAAGAAGGGACAAGCATATTTAAATAAAAAAAACAACAAATATATCTACTAACATGAAAAAATATATTGATCAAAATTAAAAGCTTGATAGATAAGTTAAAGAGCAGATTAGACATGGCTGAAGAGAGAAACAATGAGCTGGAAAATAAAGCTAGAGAAATTATTTGGGGTAAAACAAAAGAGATAAAGACATGGAAAATATGAAAGAAAATTTATAAGATGTGGAGGACAGAATGAAAGTTCAATATACATTGATAAATGTCTCAAAGAGAACTGGGGACAAGTAACACTCAAGGCCATAGTATCCTAACATAGGTTTTCAAGAAAGATTCAAATTTGAGTATTCCAAGCAAAACAAATAAAATGAATTATTTATAAATGTATCATATCAAAACTAAAATACTAAAAACAAAGTCACCATTTTAAAAACAACCAGAGGAAAAAAAATGTTATCTGTAAAGTGTCTCCAACAACACCGAGAACTGAAATAGTATTTTCTAGGTTTTAAGAAAAAATCCCTCTGCTGTCAGCTCAGGATTACATATGCAGCTAAACTAATTTCCAAGAGTGCATGTGAAATAATAAAAACAAATTTATCACTAATAAATCTTTACTGAAAGAACTGCTAAAGGATATACTTCATGAAGAAAGACACTAAGTCTAGAAGGAATGTATGAGACAGAAAAGAAATTGTGAGCAAAGAAGTGGTACAACTTCTAACACACTTGGCCTCATGCTTTGCTTTGTCTTCCTACTTAAAAGAGTAATATCTCTACCTTGAGAGAGAGATGGTCTCTCAAATATTTTGTTCTCTGCCCCAGTTAAAATCACAAGACACTTTCTTGACCCACTGGGGGTACCCAAGCCTCCCTTCCAGTGGGGGTCTTAGTTCCAGGATGACTACCCAATGGTAGTTCCATAGGAAAGAATAGGAAACATGAAAGTGTCTCAGGTACCAGATGCTGTGCTATGTATGATACAGGGCTACCCCAAAGAGTCTTTCCCGTCCTGAGGGAGCCTGCTTTTAAATGGGTTCATGGACACACAAATAATCTCAAAGAAGTCTGAAGTACAACAATAGATTTGGCAGGTCACATTCTCTGATAAAAATAGTAATCAAATGCTGAGTTTGAAACCGTGGGTTTCTTAGTGTGTCCACACACCTGCCAGACAACTCTGTCTATGCATAGATTTACCTTTCCATGTGGTCATTTCTGACTTACATTCCGTCCAACCTGCACCCCCAGCTCATTGAAGCCCCTGAAGTAGAATTTCCCTTGCCCTAACAAATAAGAGGTTGAAATGATGCTAGGGCTAGTTTCAACCCTGAGAGCCAGGTTTTCCACATACAGAAATCAGGCAACATTAAAATTCAAAACTCAGGCCATTGAGTCTGAAACATATGTTTGCGAACAGTCTGATTTCATGTCTGCCTTCTATGTCCTGTGAATACAAATGGCCTCATTTGGAGTTGAGGAGCAGAAAGGAAGAAATCTAAGAATGATCTCCAAAACAAATCTTTAATTCGGATGAGTATAATAGAGTGTAATCCCATTTCAAGTCTGTCAGCATTCCTTTGATGATTACAAATGAGTCCCTTTTCCCTGGCAATGTGGGGGAATAATCTGGATAAAATAACCCTTTTTGTCTGCATGGGACCATGCAATGCTTACTTGTGACAGCTTTCAGAGTAGTGTTTCAGAGTCTGAGAAGCGCACACTATGCTACCAAGTCATCTCTTTTCTTTCTCTTGACTTAGAAGAATTTTCACTCTTTTCATGTTTGGTGGCTTCCGAAATTCTCAGACTTGGAAATCATAAATCATTGTGCTGTCTTGAGGAATGAAAGAGATTCAGGCCGCCGAACCCTTTTCCCTCTGTCTGTTGTACTTGCACGGGAGACAGGTGGAAATGAGAGTGGGTGATCTTATCTGGAAAACCAATTTGTACCGCTTTTGAGGGATTTGCTTCAAGGAATGTGTACAAGTTTACAGTCTGTTTCCATGAAAAGAATGTCCCCCGAACCCAAGTTCAGGCTTATGTGTCTCTTTCTTGTCTATTTGGTGTGAAATTAAGGGACAATCATTTTTAAATGCCTTTTTCAGTTTTTTTGAGACTTGAATAACTAAATGCTGCTTCCAAAATGAACAATGAGAGATGCTTTGTGGGCGGTTAGATGGATGCAAAGACTCAGTCCCATCCACAGCCTTGGAATGAGAAGGGATCTCCAAGACCCTACTGCTGCAGGTCCTGCTGTGCAGAATTACAGATCTTATGGTTTTGCCTTCTCTGCCTTATCTAACCCTAAAGCCCAAGTTCAAAGGTCTCTCTCTTCTTCTTTTTTTTTTAAGTTAAATTTTTTATTTGTTCTTTATAGATATACATAATAGTAGAGTGTATTTTGACATATTATACTCTCTTCTGATTTCCCTCTTTTTCCTTTGAAATCGGAGGCCCCAGGATTATTTTAAAGTAGCCTTATGCCTCTTGGAAGCCATGAACCTTGGGCTTCTTTCTGGCTGCTCAAGACAGATCATTTGGTCTGTTAACCTTCACTCAAATGCCACATTGTCATAGAGTCAACAACCACCTGAATGAAATTTTACCCAAAGAAAATTTAGCTTTTCTGAATGTTTTGTCAAAACCAATGATTCTCAACCCAGGACGAATTTGTCCTTCTGGGATATTTGGCAATATTTGGAGACAACTTTTTCTGTCATAACTTTGGGGAGTGGGGTGCTATTGGAATCTAGTGGGTGACACCCAGCAATGCTGTTGAACATCTTATAAAGCACGGGGCAGTTCCTATCACAAAGAAGTGTCTGGTCACTGGCTCAAGGCTGAGGAACACAGGGGCTAGATGGCAGAGACTTGTCCTTGTTTTGTTTTCTATACTTTTGGAACATGAAGCAAGTGAAACTTTTTCTTAAAGACCAGTTACCAGCTTAGCAAGACCCTGTCTCAAAAAAAAAAAAAATTAACAACAGGCTGAGGATTTTTTGATCAGGCACCCTTGGGTTCAATCCCCAGTATGGGGGAAGCTGGGTGGCAAGACTGGGAGATGCGGGGGAGGCAGAGTTGAGCCTGAGTCCTAAGACATGGCTCCATCGCTGCCAACCTCATGCCCAGCTTGCCTTCTGCAGCCCAAGGGAACCAACCTTCAGTCAGGAAAGAAAAACTCAGCTGCTGTTGCGCTTCCCGCTTCCCACACTTGGCTCTCCTCATCTCAGGCTAGACCCTTTGCCCTCATGAATGTCAAACTAAAATACCGCTCTGGAGAGGTGTTCAGGCTTGAAGTGAGCCAGCATTTCCATTATTTCGAAATGGCAGAGAAACAATCACATGCGTGTGGGGGTGCCATTTGATTGGAATTCCAAGGAGACCCAAAGTCATGGAGACTGTGCAAAGATCCGCTCTCCCCTGGATCTCCCTACAGTCTTCCCTCCCGCTTCCCTTGCACTCACTCCTCCTGCCCCTCTGTGTATCACCACCCCTGCCTCTGCACACCCACCCCTGGACAGACCGCCCCTGGCACACTCACATGCGTGGGTTAATTCTGTGCAACATTGTGTTCTCTCGGTGCTGCATATTGTACATTTTTTAGGACATATTTGGAGCTTGGGTGGACATGGGGCTGAGCACTAATGTAGGGTCCACCTGGAGTAGAAGGGGGATCCTGAATTCTCTGAAAAGGGAATTACCACTCCAACCCTGGGGGCCATGGGACCCGGGACAGCTCCTCCTTTCAGAACGACGCACCCCCCCCTCCCCCAGACAAGTTGTAACTCTACTTAAAATATTTCTTTCCTTCTGCCAAACACAGAGAAAATCTAGTATTGTTTCCAAGGGCACCAGCAGGAACTGGTGGGCAGTATTTGTACAGCTTCGTGAGTCAGGCTATCTGAATTTCCAAGCATTTTAAGAGCTTTGTCAAAAAAAAAAGGTCTATTGTATGACTCTTGGCACTGAAGAAAAGAGCAGGCCTGTCAGAACTCTGTTTCAGATTTAATTTTCAAGTGGGTGATATGAGAATGCTGTCCAACAGGAGGGCTTTGGTCATTTTCTCGTCCCTGCTCATATGGGGGCTGCAGAACTTCAGTTTTCAGAATTAGCTCATATTATGACACTGAAGCATCTTTTCTCTGACACCCTCTTCATTAAAAGATATTGTGTTCTTATGCAAAGATTAGGATGACCTTCAAATGAATGTGGCTTCCTGCAATAAAAGGAAAAACATTCTTGACTATGTACACAGTATATGTTCTATATATATGTATATATACAGTTGTTCTCAACATCTATAGGAGATTGACTCCAGGGCCCACCCTCTTAGGCACCCCAATTTGCAGATGCTCAAGTCCGCCGTATTACATGGCACAGTATTTGCATATAACTTATGCACATCCTCCTGTATACTTTCTCATTTCTAGATTAGTTATAACACTGTACTACAGTGTAACACAGTGTAATATACCTAAAACAATGTAAGGCTATGTCAATGGTTGTCGTAATTGTTTAGGGACAATGACAATAAGAGCCTGTACATGTTCAGTACATACAATTTTTTTCCTGAATGTTTTTGATATGCAGTGGATTAGATGGCGGATGAGGAATCATGGATATAGGAGACTGTGCATATATTTTTTCAGAGCATGTTCTTCTAAGAGTTTACTATTCTTTTTGCTCCTTATGGTTTAGAAAATATAGGTCTGGAGACATTGTGCCTGACTCATGCGTTCAGTACTTACTTCTAGGTATAGATGTCATGAAAATTAAGCAGGAAAAACTTGTTTATGAAGATGCTGTGTCTTAATTTTACCCCTGGACATGTGAGCAGCGATCTTTCCCATCATATGTGTGTATATATCATTGTATGCATATATATAGGCATACAATGATATATATATATATATATATATATTCACATACAATGATATGTATATTCACACACATATTTTTGGTCCTCCTCATCTGTCTTCTCTTGTGTTTAAAGATTACACACTTTATCAAAAAGAGAAAGAGAGAAGAAGCCAGCAGCTGAGCATTATACTCAGCCCCAGGATCCCCCTGCGCAATGAACAGCTGATAAGGTTCTGGGCTGGGAAACCTTCTCACAGTGTCGCCAACCACCCATTCACCTGACCGGGATGGCTTTGCCCTCAAACCACTTGCTTGGGTCCTACATCTAGTGTCATATATTTCAGGTAAAACAACTCTATTTCCTTTTTTCCTGCTTTCCAGGGTTCCCCTAATGCCCTGAAGAGGGTTTTTGTTTTGTTTTGTTTTTCCATAGTGGGAGGTTTAACATGGAGACCACATACAAACTATGGATTGCACCCGGCTGGTTCCAAGATGAAACCAGACTGTGAACAAGAAGATCAGACTCTAGAAATAGACACAGATAAACCCACCTGGCTCTCCACTACCCAGTTCACTGTGAGGAAGCCCTGCTTAAAGGGAATGTCCTAGTTCATGGCTCCTGTGGATGCAAAGCTTAAGCACAAGCGGGAAGCCTTCATCCTTAGAAGGCAGTCCATGGTGACAGCAAACCAACCCCAAATGACAGCCTTCCATGGAACCTTCTGGAATGTGACTCATTACCACCAAGGAGTCTTTGATGGAAGTCTGCTATGTATCATATATCTTCATTACTCCGTATTCTCTTTCTGTGGGAAGGTAAATTATAGGTAAGGTTTAGGCACTCTGATGTATTAATTGAGAGCTTTACTTTAAAGATTGTCAAATGTTTGTGATTCAGCCTCATAGACTGGGTTAAAATTGCAGTGCCGAGGGTGAGGTTTAAATTAGTATAATTATCTCTGTTATTATTCAAGCAAGCAGTGAGAAATGAACATTAGATGATAGTATCTGCACTTTAGTGGACTGTGGGGAAGAGTGAATTTGTTGGATTTACGGAAGCCTGAGAACCACAGGGGAATTCTGCAGAATATTCAGGGACTAGGGCTGATTTCACTGCATACAAAATCCTTCCTGGACTTAATTATTTTTCAGTGGTGGTGGGAGGTTACTGGGGGTTAACTCGAGGCACTCGGCCACTAAGCCGCATCCCCAGCCCTATTTTGTATTTTATTTAGAGCATCTTGCCATTGCTGGGGCTGACTTTGAACTCACTATTCTCCTGTCTCAGCCTCCCAAGCCACTGGGGTTACAGGCATGCGCCACTGCACCTGGCCTTTCCTGGGTTTAATTTTAATAAAATTATCCCTGAGAAAATAAGCCACCAAAGGACAACATGTAGACTTTGGGAAAGAGCTGTCCAGTGGAAATATAATGTAATTCATATATGTAATATTAAATATCCTCTGGACCACATTAGGTAAGGTAAAAGAGGTGAAATGAATTTCCTTCCTAAATTTTATTTAACCCTATATGTCCAAAATATTATTTCAATGTTACTCAATATTTTAAAACTATTAATGAGATATTTTACATCTTTCTTGCTTGTGAACACTTGGAAATTTTATGCATATTTTAGCTTATAGCACATCTAAATTCAGACCAGCCACATCTCAGGAGCTCAATAGCTATGTGTGGCCCGTGGCCACTATTCTGGTGCAGCTTTAGGTGAAGCCTGGGGTTAGGACAGAGCCTCCTGCCTTGTTTAGCAGTCTTTTGGTGAGGGCACTGTTTCCCCAGAGCCAGGTGCTGTGCCTTGAATATGTCAGTCTCCTCCAAAACTCAGGTTGAAATGTAATCCCCAGTATGAGATATTAAGAGATAGGACCAGGTGAGAACTTTAAGAAGTGATTAGGACTCTGCCCTCACGAATGGATTAATGGGTGATTTTGACAGTGGGTCTGCTATTAAGGCCCCTTTGGTTAGGTCTCTTGTGCAATACCTGTCTTTTGCCATGTGATACCCTTGTGCTGTCCTGGGACTCTGCTAGTAAGAAGGCATCACCAGATGTGGGTCCAGAAGCATGAGTCAAATAGACCTCTGATCTTTATAACTTACCCAGTCTGTGGCATTGTGTTATTGGTAACAGAATATGATCTTAGATGCTAGGAGGCTAATGGTGGGTGTCTCAGCTTATCCATGGGAGCTTGGCTTCCCTGTGACTTAGAGGAAGATTGGTGTCTTTCTTTTGCCTCTTCCAGATTCTTTCCCAAGACCCCTCCCAGACTTCAGTTCTTGTGAAGGGAGGGAAGAAACTCAGAGAGTCACGCTAACTGATGGGACTTGCCCACGGTACCAGAAGCCAGCCAGCTGTGCTCATCCAAATCCCTTTCTGCCACCCAGTCATTGCAGGGGTTTGGGACTGTCTTTCTGTGTGATCCCCACCCTGGGAAGGGGATATAAGAGTGAGATGCTATGCAGTCTCCCCTGGGAGACTCCTCAGCCTCAGAAAACCTAGACATGGTGCAGGTGAGGACTTGGACCAGGTGTCTCTTGACTTCTTAGTGGCAGGACCAAGATTGGGCCTATGACTGTGCTCCTCTTTGGGGTCACCAAGCTGCCCTCAGGGTCGGCTCTCAAAACAAGCAGACATGAGGGCTCTCCCACCTAGAGCTCTCTCACATGAACATATCAGGCTCAGAAGCGGCTGCTACTCTGGGGTCACAGCAGAGTCATCTTGGGTTTAAATATACCGTGTGTTTCAACTAGACTGACATCTGGGTTTTCACTCCTAGCTAATTGGAACTGAATCTCTGGGTTGGGACATCGATATTTTCTAAAAGCTGTTGAGGTGATTCTAATGTACAGACAAGATTGAGACCCGCAGGAAAACATTGCACATTCTTAAATTATCTACTTATTCAATATTTAATATTTTTGCTGTTTTTCAAACACAGAGAAGTTGTAAAATTAGTACAAAGATGTCCTTTATACCTTTCATCTATATTCCCCAAAATGACCATTTTACCACATTTGCCTTATTACTTTCTCTCTTAATTGCAACCAAGATCTCCTTTACTCCTAAATATCCCTGTGTGTACCTTAACAACAAGGACAGTTTCTTGCATAATCAAGACAATGATCAAAATTAGGAAATTGTGTTGCAATATCATTTTCCAATCTACAGACCTTAATCAGATTCCATTAGTTGTGTGTGTGTGTATATGTATGTGTGTGTGTGTGTATATATATATATATATATATATATATATATATATATATATATATATATATAAAATCTCTATCCTTTCACATCTGAGGTCATTTGGTTCCAGGACTCCTCATGGGTATCAAAATCCTCTCTTGCTCAAGTAGCTTATGTAAAATGGTGTAATATTTGCACATAAGTTATGAGCACCCTCCTGTCTACTTTAAATCACCTCTAGATGATGTTTATCACCTGATACAATGTAAATGCTATGTAAATAGCTGTTATACTTTATCACATAGGGAATAATGATAAGGGGAAAGGTCTATATATTCAATACAGATACAGTTTTACCCCAAAATATTTTTGTTCAGTGATTGGTTGAACCAATGGATGCAAAATCCATGGATATGGAGAGCTGACTGTAATTTCAGAGCAAGAGAAAATCCCAGATCACCTTTACTTGGAGATGTTGTGTACCTATAGGCTCCCTTTACCCTGGAGCACCTCCTCCGTCTTATCTTTCCTGATATTGGCTTTTGCTACAGTTCAGATATTGAATGTCTTCCAAAGGCCCCCAAAGGACCAGGTGTTAAAGGTTCCCTAGGATGGGGCTATTGGGAGTTGGTGGAACCTTCAGGAGGTGGGTCCTTGAGGGAGGTCTTTAGGTCATTAGGGACATGTTCTTGAAGGGGACTGTGGGACCTTGGTCTGCCCTCTGTCTCTGTTTCCTGGCTCCTGGTGTTTGCTCCACCATGTGCTCCCTGACATTGCCATCCTGCACCCTCATAGGGGCTCAAAGCAGTGGTCTTGGACTGGGACCTCTAGATTCATGAGCTAAATAAATCTTTTTTTCTTTATGGGGTTAATTGTCTCAGGTATTTTATTGTAGTGATGAACTACAGGATAAAACAGCATTCTTGAAGAATACTTGATGGTTATTTTATGGAATGCCCCTTGGTTTGTATTTGCCTGATGTTTCTTCCTGGTTGTATTGTTATGTATTGGGGGGCAGGATTGTCACAGACAAGGTGTCGTGTTCTTGTGCAACACTTCAGGCAGAAGTGAACTTTTGTTTGAGGTACATCACGGGCTTCTTTTAGGTCAAAGGAGGCATCATCATCCCTATCTCTTGTGCTAATTGACCCTCTTACATAATCATTTATCTAGCAAGGCTAGAAATGTCTTGAACTTAGGACATGTAAGTCTTAGAGAAAAAGAAGGAAAGTTCCTGGATCCTGGTGGATTGGCAAGGAGGGACTTCTGAGAAGACAGAGTCAAAGTTGTCTGGTGTTAGGATGAAGTGAGGAGAGCGTCAGGCCTGGACATGGCCCTAGGTTGGGTAGGAGGTGACTGCCCACCTGGGCTCTGCGGGGGCTGCCTGTGCCCATAGTGCCTATTGCTGCATCTCAATGTTTCCTGTTCAGTTCTTCCTCAGAACAGACTCCCTCTTTCCAAGCTGTGGCTCACCCTGCAGCTCCATCTGAGTCTTCCCCTGGGATTAATGACATTCAGAGTAACTCCAGGAATCCTTTCCGTGAGGTGATGTCCCACTGAGCACTCCTGGTAGGTCACCTTGCTTGCTACCCACCGCTCACCTCCAGGTCAGATGTCATGCTTGTGCCTCTTACCATCTCCAAGGGCACTGGAACTTGCCAGTTGCAAGCACACCCTTTGCTGCTGGTGAGGCTCTCATCCTGTGGATCAAACTTACCCTTTGACTTAATAAATGACCGAAACATGGCTTTCCTTCTACCTGTGCATAGAGGCTGAGAAGTGGTGTGGTCTATTCTGTCCACCTGACGTCTCAGGCCTTCTGCTCGCCCCTGCGCAGAATTGGAGGAAGACAGGGAGATTTTCCCTCTGCACTGTTGTTGTTGATTTTCCTGCTGGTGCTTGTCTTGGGCTTAATCAAAACCTGTTGTTCCCTTCTCTCTGTCCACTCTTCTTACTTTATCTGTGGGCTTTCACTGGGCTTCCTGTGCTGCTGGAGGAACACGGTTGTTGTGGAGATTGTGGCCACAACAGACAGGTTCCCCAGCCTTGGGGTGCCCCTTGCTGGGCCGCTTCCTACCTTTGAAGAAAACGACAACTAATGGAGGTGATAAGAATAAAGGTGAATGTTTGCACAGAGCTGACGCTGGGCAGAGTGGTTGTTATGGGTGGGACTGTGTCCCCTCAACAACAGCAGATTGGAGTACTAACCCCTGGTACCTCAGAATGTGACCTTATTTGGAGTCACAGTCTTTACAAAGGTATTCAAGTTAAAATGAGGTCATCTGGGTGGGCCCTCTTCCAACACGACTGGTGTCCTTACAAAAGGGGAAACTTGGACAGAGACAGACGTGCACACAAGGAGAATACCACGTGACACAGGAGCTGTGCTGCCAGGAGCCAAGAAACTACCAGCAGCCAGGAAAGAGGCTGGGAACTGAGTCTTAGAGTCTTCGAGGGAGCACGGCCCAACCCACACCTTCATCTCAGACATCTGGCCTCCGGAAGGGTGAAGCTACCAGTTCCTGTTATTCCAAGCCACCCAGTTTGTGGTACCTTGTTAAAACAGCCTTGGGAATCGAATACTGTGAAGATCTGAGCACTTCACTGTGGTTACTCATTTAATCT